TTTTTTGATGAAGAGGGACTTTTTGGTTTTCATATCATCTTCCAAGCCCAAATCTTTTTCCTGCACCACTGCTATATTCAGTTCCTTATATGCAGATTTGATAGAGTAGTTACCCTTCATGTTTTTGATCCATTCCAGCTTGTCTACCTACCCCTTCATTAAGATTGTTAAACCTGCTACTCCTTCCATCTCCCAGTCATTCAAATATCTCCTTAGGTGTTCACTTGACAATTTCTAAAAGATACATTTTGAGGTGGGCCAAAAAAAAAACTTTGTATACTTATTTCAACTTTTCAAAAAATTTGTACGTCATTCAAATTTTCAAAAGTCTAAGTACTTATTTCAAATCAAAATATGCAAAAGCAGGGAAGGCACCTCTGCGTCCACCTCCCGCTGTCACTGCCCGGCGCTCTATGTACCAACCCCCTCCTCTTTTTCCTTTTCTTTTCTATAACCGTGATGTCCGGGACAGCTTGTGCGCACCTCCACTAATTCCACGTACCTAAACCTCCCATCAGCAATAGGTATAAAAGTAACTCCATCCATCAAGACTAGGACAGATGGGAAGAGATCACCTATGTTCTGTCTCTGCTGGGATTTGAACCTGAGTCTTCATGGTTTCCCACCCACTTCATTGACCACTAGGCCAGAACCTTGGTTGCAATTGTATCAACCCTCCTCTACCTCCTACTTTATTCCTGTTTAGTCAGGAGGTTCTTCATGAATGTGGTAAGAGGGTATGACAGAATGAATTTGATTCTACAAGCTTGATAAGTAACAGGGTCAGCAAGTAACTTTGTTGCACTTGCAAATAAGATGGAGAAGAACAGGATGCGGCAATTGGCATAGGGGAACGGGGAACAATGGAGAAAATAGGAGGATGACATACCCAATCTCTCTCGAATGAAAAATTAACAGAAGACATAAGAATTCAATGTTGTTTCCATGAACTATAGCTACCTACACCCACTCCCTGCTTAAGAGATTTTTCAAGTACTTCCAACACACAATTCTTCACTTAGTTCTCCATTGTACATATACTTCCCGCAGTTTTCAAGAAAAGGTAAATGTGGGAAGAACCATAAAACTTCCTAGGAAGCATACATCACAAACATAAACCTTTTCAACAAGTCTTAAGAGTCTAAATCTTACTGCATCCTTAATGGGTGCCAAGACCTCAACAATAATTTTATCCTGACACTAACAGTAACCTACCAGATTTTTCAATTAGGATCACTAATGCAGCACTCATTTCCAAACTCTCAAAGCAGAAAGTAATCATCCTGCCTGGAAGGAATACTGTCATACAAATGCAGAATTCCAAGATCACTCATATGCACACATGGGTTTTGAACTCCAACAAAAAAAACAATACTACATTTGGCACCAAGAGAAATTGGAAAGAAGAAGGGAACTGCTTGATTATTATTATTTTTCCCCATCAGTTTAGCTACAACTTGATGTGCATGTAAAAGTCATACTCAAAAGCTTGAAGGTAGATTACTTCCTCCATTTAGTCCACTCCAAGTAAACTGAAGGCTTAAGTTTGCTATGTCAACTGTAATTACCCAGTGTGCAAGCCTAAGTGCAGAGGTAAGAGGATTAAAAATGGTATTGTTGAGAAAGAAAAGTGAGCAGCGTGAAAATTTTGCCAAGAAGAGAAGCGCAGAGGCATGAAAGGTTTTGCAAATTAATGCAAGTTATTTTGATGAATCTAAATGGTGTTAAGACTTTGTTACAAATCTAATTCTTTCATATTTATTCAGACTCATTAAAAGGGTTTTATAAGGAAACAAAACAAATACACTTAATAGGCTGAATCTGAATAATTAAGATTCAAGCCTTAAAAACAAATGCACTTAATGGACTGAATCTAGATGATAAGATTTAGACCTCCATTAAGCACACGATGCTAAATGGAAATCACTAGTTAACCTAACATGCTCAGAACACGTGATTTTTTTGAGAAAGGTAACATTCGTATGTATTGACAAAAACCAGTACATGGGTTTGTACTGAAAACCATAATTACAACTTATCAACAAAACAGGATATCTGAATCTAAATTCTAAATAGAGCCAAGGATCTCAATAATTGACTCAGTATCCTCTAGGTACATCTGTTTACACCAGAAACAAAAAGTTTGATACAGTTCAAATTGATCTTCTGAAGATCACAACTTTTGCTCTCAAAACATCTAACATTTCTCTCTCTCCAGACTGTCCACCAGATACAGGCTGAGACAATCCTCCATCTATCTCTGTCTGAAGCTCCCCCACCTACCTCTGCCCAACTGTAGAGGAGGTGGGTGATTCATTTAGGCATAGTCCAAACAACACCCCCTGCGGCTGATAAAAATCCTCTAAAGTTGGGTTGTTTATCCTGCACTGTAAAAACAGATGGCCAACTGTCTCAACCTCTTCTCCACACAAATAACATCTCAAGCACATAGAGAACTTCATCTTCTTGAAATTTTCTTGTGTCAGGACTGCTTCTCTTGCCAGTAACCAAGTAAAACATGCCACCTTGAAAGGGGTTTTTGTTTTCCAGATTTGTTTCCATGGCCAATTTGGTGGTTGTTGGCCACCTTTGTTCAAAAACTTGTGTGCTGAGTTCACCTTATACATGCCTTTGTTGTCTTTGTTCCACCATAGTCTATCAGCCTCATTCTTTGTCTCTTTGAACTCTGCCAGAGCTCTGAAAAATTCTGTCACAGTTTCAATTTCCCAGTCATTAAAATTCCTTCTAAAGTTGATGTTCCATCCTTGTTGTGTCCGCTGTCAGCTACACTCATTTGTTGATATACAGTTTAGGGAAAAGATTTTTTAAACTGGCATGTCCTATGCATTTGTCCTCCCAAAATGAGGTCTTACTTCCATTGCCTACCCTCACAGTTTGTGTTATTTCTCAAAAAAGGCCAAAAGATTCTGATAGACTTTCATAGACTTACACCATAGGGTGTAGATACCTCATTTGTCATCCATTTGTTCTCCTCTCCATATTTAGCTTTAATTACTTTACCCCAGTATGCTTGAGGCTCTTGTGAGCATCTCCATAACCACTTCAGTCTAAGTGTCTTGCTTTGTATTTTCAGATTTCTTACTCCTAAGCCCCCTTGCTTCTTTCCCCAAAGAACCTCGTTCCACTTGACCAAGAGTCGACCAGTAGAGACATTTTCCTCACTCCCTTTCCAAAGAAAATCTCTCCTAATCTTGTCTAAACCCCAAAGAATCTCGTTCCACTTAACCAAGTGTCGAACAGTAGAGACATTTTCCTCACTCCCTTTCCAAAGAAAATCTCTCCTAATCTTGTCTAAACTTTCTATCACTCCATCAGGAATGGGAAAGATAGACATCATATAGGTTAGGAGAGCATCCAAAACAGAATTGATGATAGTGACTCTGTCGCCTAAGGAGGTGTACTGAGATTTCCATCTAGTTAACTTTTTCTCACACTTTTCAATCAGCAAGTTCCAAATGTTCATGGCCTTTGACTTGACACCTAGAGGCATACCTAGGTACATAGTAGGTTAGGAGAGCATCCAAAACAAAATTGATGAGAGTGACTCTGCCGCCTAAGGAGATGTACTGAGATTTCCATCTAGTTAACTTTTTCTCACACTTTTCAATCAGCGAGTTCCAAATGCTCATGGCCTTTGACTTGACACCTAGAGGCATACCTAGGTACATAGTAGGCAGGGAGCCTACTTCCCCTCCCAGAATTCCAGACAAACCCAACATATTGGGGACTTCATTGATTGGGAATAACTGATTTTTCCTCCAGTTGATATGAAGTCCAGAAACTCCCTCAAAAAGCACTAAAAGTGATCTCAGGATAAGTAATTGCCCTTTCAGCATCACATAAGATTAAGGTATCATCAGCATACTTGAGATGTGTGACTTCTATGTTGGTTTTTAAACTTAGGTTTAGGCTTGTGACTACCTTAAACCCTCTTAGACATTCATTATTCCTAGCCACCTTGATCATGTAATTTTGACCCTCCATGGCTATGATAAAGAGAAAAGGAGGATCACCCTGCCTCAAACCCCTGTTTGCTGGGAAAAAACCTTCTACTGATCCATTGATAAGAACTAAGAATCTTACAGTGGAGATGCAATATCTTACCCAGTGAACCCATTTCCTTCCAAAACCCATACATGAGAGCATTTTCAGCAAAAATTCCCAGTTTACATGGTCATATGCCTTTTCGATATCCAATTTGAACAAAATTCCTGCCTTTCCTTGATTAATCCTGGAATCTACCACCTCATTTGCAATTAGGATAGCATCCATTATTTGCATGTTTTTTATGAAAGTCATCAGTTGAACATCTACCAGCTTATCAATAACTCTCTTCAATCTTTCTGTCAGCACCTTGGATAGAAGCTTGTAAGACACTA